AAATATAAAACAACTCATTTGGCCCCATTCAAACACATAAAGACGGTAAAAGAGGCCATTCACTTAGCTGCTTTAACGTCAATATTATAAAGCTATACTCCAGCTTTACTTTATTTCACCAATTGTCTTCAAAACGGCGCATCAGAATTTATATCTTATCTCCAGTTTCACATTTTCAATAGAGAGGAATGGCTTCAGTGAATTCATTATCTTTGCCTTGGCCTTTACGCCGTTCAATCACACATGCAAAAAGAACACGTCCAAATGAGCTGATTTTAATTTTCCGCGGGAAGCGAGAGGGCAAATGGAAATTTCAGCATGATTTAAATAGTCGGAGGAGAGAACCACTTACCTCTTCACGTAACTTTATCAACTGCATCAGGAAAGCAAGAAGAAGAGAAAGATGGAGAGAGTGAAGGAGAGATAAAAAGCAGGAGATGGGAGGAGGTAGAGAATTAACCTTGACGACTTATCCGCTCGCATGTTTAGCATTTAGAAATCACAAGACAAACATTAAACGCTAGCTAGCTAAACGTGCAGCTCGGGTTTGGTGTGTGTTTTTGAACAAACAAAGATCAAGTCCTGGCACTGTCACATTAAACGCTGAGCGGGAATGGATCGTTCGCCTCGCGCTTTCAGCTAGTATTACCGAGGACGTCAAATCACACGGCTAATGTAGCAAAAACAAAACATGGCACGTTATTACGCTAAGTATTTTTGCAGATATGGCGGGAAAGAAACACATGCCCTTAGGAGCTGAGGTAAAGTTATTCTAGTGTTTATCAAGCATCAGATTCATTCAGTATTACATCTTTCTCCATACAGTTGCATTATGTATGTGGAGTTATCTGAGGCCATTGTATATGAACATGCAGGGTACCTTATTATTGGGACATGCACAGGACATGAAAAATGAATCTTAGCACAGTGATACATGTTTGATGAAAAGGAATAGGAAATACAATATAAATCATGTTATTTCAAGTCCCTGTACTGGAAAAAGCATGCATTCCTGATAATGAAGCTGCCAGTTATAGAGGACCATAATCCCATTGGCTATTAATTATGACTACAACAATTAGAAAGGTTATTGTGGTGGTCTCCTCTAAAGTGAGGACTGGGAATGAGGGAGGACAATGCAAGGCAATACGTTTGACAGGATAAAGGAAGGACTTTTAACTTTCTGTAACAAATGTAGTCGGCTCTAAGATGTAATGGCAGACACCTGGTCCCCATTACACAGGCTGTTTATTCAGAAGGTGAATCATAATAATAATATAGTGTATGATCTGTGTTCAAATATGAATAAAGCCTAAGTTAAAACGGATACTTCTGGTTATCAAGTGCTTTCAAGGGGTATTTAAAAATTAATTATATGTATTCTAATGTGAATTACTGTATTTATGGGTTTATATATTTGATGAACTATAACATCAGCCTGCCCAGAAACTACAGATGGAAATTAGCACTAGTGTTAAAAACTGGTACAATGCAGCTCTCCTGTTAGGGTTAATGTATATTGTGCACTGCCCCTGTCTCATTAAATAAATAAACAAAAAAATATTTAATTCTTTCATATTATAAAACTACATCATAATATGTAAAAATGAAAGACACAAACCGAATAATATAAAGTGCTGTAAAAGCTGATAAAAATGAACAAACTTGATTGCAATCCTTCAAACAAGGCTAAAAAGTGACATATAGAGACTGAGTCCAAACTCAACTAATACATTATACTGCCTAAATATGCTATATATATAACTTGCTATATTCATTTTTGTCAATATTAGTCCATACATAAATGAAGTTTTAGTGAAAAGTTGTTATAGTGCTGTGTAATGAAAACAAAGCCAAACGCATGTTTCTTTAAAGAGCTCTAAGTCTTGAAAACGTTGGCACAAATAAGACGAACTGAGGAGTGGAAACTCTTTAGCAACTTACGCAACAACTCCCCACTAAGACTGTTCTAATGAAGGGGCCAAAGTTTAAAGCGACTCTGCAGTGGACATGATTATGGAGGGCTGGAGCGGAGGAGACTGGGGACCCCAACGCCGCATCCGTCAATGGTCCCCAAACAAAAAGTGTTGGCTCCCATTTGTGCTGCATGACTGATTGAGAGCGGATTTGTTAAAACTATATGACGGCCAGTCCGGCTTCACTTTTTTTTTGGCATCTGTTCTTTAGTTTGTCCACTTTAGGCTCCCATACCTCAAGAGACACACAAATGAGGAGAAACGAAATGTTATAATTACTCAGGTTTGGGCCGCTTGTGTTCCTCTGATGCCAGTTTTCAGAATTGCAATGCTGCGTTTTTTTTCCTGTTATGATAATCAGTTTTTTTTCCAAACAAAAGATTTTTTTTATCCAATACGGAATTCGATACAAGTGGTAATCTGCTTTCTTTGTAGGCTGCAAAATCTGGATGGTGCTGGCTCGAACCGCCGCAATCTCTGGTGGCCAAGCCTTCTGCTGCTGTGACTGAAATCGAAACTATTCCATGTGTTATAAAAAATTGTATGTGCATTCACTGCTTTGTGTGTGGCGTCTGGTGTGAGTGTGTTTGTGCGTGTGTTGCATGCCGAGGAAACCGAAAGAAAAAAATGTGCAATGGTAGCCTAGCATATTATAGAAAAAAATACTGATAGTGCCAATGCAGTCTCTGTCCGCATACAGATAACGAAGAAATGCCCGACTCTATTAAATCGTCCTTTAGCCATTATCGCGGGGCCAACACGGCATTTTCAGAACTTATGAGGCTCCCCTATTTACTTAGCTCCAAATCCTTGCCATGTAACCAGCTGATTTGTGACTGGTAATGATCGGCGCGCCCAGGCCTATACGAAATGATCCTGACCTCTTTCAGATCGGCAGGAATTAAATTGACCGATTGCCCCCCGGCCCCCTCTGCCAGAGCCTCTCCCCACTCCTATCAACAACGCCGTCTCGTTAGATAAAAATAAATAAAATAAAAACTGAAGTTGCAAGTGCTCCACTCACAGCAAGACGGCCAAGAGTATTATCTGCACAAGATGGAGAATTAATACAGGTAAATATGAAGGCACCTAGAAGCACCTAGAAGACGTAAAATCATCAAACTCTGTAAACACATCAGATATAAATAAAATCTTATGCTGTGGGTTTGAGAATAATCACTTATTAATTACACTATATTATTAGATTATCACATTACATTATGTCAACAGAAATCACATCTATATGCCATATGCATTTCATATTTTAACAAAAAAAATATTAATTATTTAAAAAAATTCCTAAATATAATTAAAGAATATAAATTGTCATGTTTCCATGTTCCTTTTAGATATTATTCTTAGATACATTTTAGTTGTTGTCCAATTTTGGTGTTTTATCCTGCTGTTAATTAATTTATACTTTTGTTTTTGTTATTCCTAATAAAGGAACTATTACATTTACATTTATATTAAAATAAGTAAGTTAAAATACAGTAAAGTAATAATCTCTTTATTCATATTTTTTTAAATAATGTCTGGATTAGAAATTTTTAAAAATTTACTTTTTTTTTTTTTAATATTATACACTGGTAGCCTAGTTTAGTTTATAAATGTAGGCCTACATTGATAAAATTCAATTTTATCCAATATATTTATTTTATTTATCTAATATATTTCTATTTTATCTAATCTATTTATATGCAACATTATTTATAAATGCAAAAAAATAAATAAATAAAAATAAAAAATGAACACAAAAATCGTTTGATAAGTTTCCCTTTGAACAATTATCTTAGAAGATGAAACTATCTTATGTGTTTCTTTAAAAATGTGTATTAATATTTAATGAAAGTGCAGTATTTAAGCTGAGTGCGGCGCTCTTTTCTGCACATGTTTGATGGAAGCCGTCAGCCTCGGCCCTGACATTTTTGACAGACCGTCTCTCTCCAAGTCGTGAGGAAAGCGTCACCGTCACTTTTGTGTCTCGCTAATTTGCGGAGAATATGCAAATCAATTACACATCTTTGGCTCGCGATACATATGTTTGCAAGATGCACGGTTCATGGGTCAGCATTGAAATGGTAATGTTTTTAAAAAGGGAAAAATCTGACAACTTTATTTAGCCTGGATCCAATCATCAACTCAAAACATGGAGGGATGCATTTTCAGAAAATTGTATTTATAAGAAGAAAATGTTTTACTTGTATAAGCTTTGAGACGCTCAACCCTGAGACCTTAACAGCCGATAGGCCATTTTAAAGAAAGACAATATAGGAAAAATGAGTTAAGAGAGAATATACTATGTGAGAGAAACACCAGTTTTAAGCACAATTCGTTTTGATGATTAAAAAAAAAAAAAAAGAAAGCTTGCATGTATATTGAACAATTTGACTGCAATTTCAAAACCTTTTAATTTTTAATGTTTCATAAAAGGCCGAAATGAGTCTTTGTCAATAATACTTGAGAGAAAAAATACTACATTTGAAGTTAAGATATGCTTGTTAATTTCATTTTATTTATTTTTTTATGTTTTTTTCTCTAAATTTTTGTGAGGTGATCCAATTACATTCCACAATATTTGGGAGCACTCTCTGTCAGTCACCATTCATACGCGGCTTATTCGTTTTGAGTGGCTGCATTGTGCCGTATGCCACCCTTGGAGTGTAAAGAAAACGGGGCGCACCAGATCTTCGCCCAGCGCCTGCTTTTGCTCAGCGCGGGACCATGGGATCAGAGCGGAGTCCGGGGTAGCCCGCTTTGGCCTGAGCTCGTCATTGTACAGCTTGTGTGCGCACCTCCCGATCTCACAATGTGTTTTCGGATAGAGAAGCTGCTGTCTTGAGCTTTGCATTAAACAGTATTGCTTCTGCTTGACTTGGTGACAATACGGCAGGTTTTTTGGTCCCTTTTTTGACTGTGGCTATGAGCGTGGGGGTGTAGCTGGGTGGTGCTGGGGTGGCGTTGGGTGCGGGGTGGTCTCTTGGTCAGCCACCCACATTGGCTCCTCTTGATTAGCAGCCTTACCTGATTCTCCGAAGATCCGGCGTCTTCCCCCAGGAGCTCGTTGCGCACTTCGTCACTATAGGCGATACGTGACCTTTTCTGCGAGAGGGGGAGAGAAAGAAAGGATGAGTAAAAAAGAGAGGGAAAAAATAAGTGGGAGAATATGGCTTTTTCATACTATAGTGTTGACACAAAAAAACACAGCCGACATTTCTTAAGCACGGGAGCCCCCTAATGGAACTGGGTGACAAACTCTGAAATCGTGCACTGCTCTAGCTAGTCTGGTTATACAAGTCAGACAATATACTTCGACTTGGTTGGGGTGCCTGCCTTGCTATCGGAGAGAGGTGATCCGCAGACTATAGTGCACTGGAAGAGGAGAAGTGGCAACCCTCTCGGCCCACTTAAACAAATACAAGTGGAGGGATGAAACGGTTGATCCTGGCGGAGGAGGCTGCATTGGGGACAGGGGCGAGAAGGAGAGAGGAGAGGAGATGTATTATGAGGAAGTATCAGTTGTCAGGGCTAAATCTTTTCTAGGGGGCCTGTCTCTAGCTGTCACCCCAGTGCAGTGGCAGCCTGTGTGTGATAGCGCTGTTGCTAGCGCTAGAGACAGGGAATTATTCATCAACCATTGGCGGTCCATCGGATTTGGGGATGCCTTCCACACACACACACACACACACTCAAATAACAGGGAATGCCATGTCCAAAAAGACTTCAAGCCTTTGCCACCTCCCGATTTTTGCGAGGTTGCATGGAATTGTACGCCTTGTTTACAGATGCCCCGGCCCCATAGAAAAACAGGCTCTTGGCAAGCCCTCTAGACTAAAGCACACATCACCGCGAGCACAAAAAAGTGTTTACTAAGCCATGCTACACTTTCCTCCCTTGCCTTGACAGGGGTTTTCGAAGGTGGGCTAAAATCAAAGGCCTACACCTACCTACCGGCATAGCAATGAAAATATCATTTCTCACAACAGGAATTTTCTATATTTATTTAGTCCTCCTCTCCAAATAATAAAGTGCAAGCTACACCAATTACCTGCTGGGTTTTTCCTCAAGTACTATCTTTCTATTATCAGCAAAAGTTTGAAGTTATCGCTTGATGCGAAGACCGAAAGAGACACCTAAAAAAAATCTGATTGAAATAAGGCTGGAGCCAATCGCAGGCGAGTATTTGTGTTTGTATGTGGTGGTAATGTGAAGCAGTGAGGGGAAAGAGATGCCTGATGTGATTTGGGTGTTATTGCGGTGAAGGAGAGATCTCTGGAGTAATTATAGAAGAGACGGAGAGAGGCTGATTGACCCGGCCACAAAACCACATTAGATAAAGACTGGGCACAACAATACTGGGCCGCAGGGACTGGAGTGGTCACAAGGCGTGCTCTGGTACTGAGGAAATAAGGAATAAACAGCACTGTCATTAAGCACATACTATGAGAGGACATTTTCTAATATAACTCATCTTCTTCAATGTGCCAAATATGTCATAAACCATTGTTTTATTAGTTGGAGCCCTTTAAAAAAAAAGTATTTTCTTTTTTTCTTTTCTCTTTTTTCAGCATTTAAAACTTAGTATGTGTATATTGTGAAAAATTTTATTTGGATAAATAAATAACAATATGCTTTCCCAAGAAGCTAAGAATTATAAATAGTAATAGTTTAACAAATATTTTCACAATTATGATCAAACATTATGATCTTTACTTTTCTCATCTATTACAATACTGTTATCATATTTGTTATTCTTAGAACTTTAAAGTTGTCTATTGTACTTTTTGTGTCTTATTGTAATTTTAATAACTTATTTTTTTATTAGTTGTTTTTTAACAATATAAATCAATACAAGATACTTAAAGTTTAACAAGTACTACAAAACTCACAATATATAGTGATATCTTACTATAATTATTTATTTCCTAGTAAAAATGTATCTGAAATTACATTTTATGTTTTTAAAATTGTCTGTTTTAGAAGGCCAATCTCATTTCCTACAACCCTATAACTTTATCAGTTATAAATTTTTCCAAGAATATTTTAAATTTTTACCTTTATGTCATAAAAAGCTCTATAGCCAAATCAGAAGCCAGGAGTAAAGTTGTACACAGATTATTGTTGTAGCAGCCGAACGCCCACAGATCATTTAAGTGAGTTTCATCCTAAAGACTGAGGTGCGACGAGGGGAACGTCATGACAGTGGCACTATAATTGAGACGAGGAGCAGACTGACGCTTTACACCACTTTAAACTGTTTTCTTCTGCTCCGGGTTTGTTCTAAATAGCTGTTTGTTGCAGATGCACTTCCTGTTTTAAGGGAATACAAAAGTAGTGCTGCTGTACTTACTGTAGCTCCCACTGGAAAACAAGAGACAAGTAATGATTAGTGCCTTCCCTCTTCATGTACCGCACAGCACATGTATTGACTGGTGACAAAGTGACAGGTTTTGATTATAAGTTTAGTGTAGTACATGAGTATTGAGGTCGTGAGCGCAGCGCTGTTCTTACTGTAATCTACACATAATTATAATATCTATAAAGAAAGTGTGTCATTCTATAGACATAACACAAGAGGATCTTAAAACTAACTCCACTAATCAGCCCCTAATCTAAAAACGAAGGAGCACTTCCAAAGATACCTTATTGCTCACAAAGAGAAGAAGTCTTTTTTTAATCCTTTTGAGGTCTGTCTTTTGTCAGGGTTTTAATCTTGGGTGAGAATTTGCTTCTATTCCCGGAAGCACACAAGAAAAGTACAAAGATACATCTTAACTTTATGCAAAGTGGCCCTCCTTTAAAAGTCGCAGAGTCCCGTCAAACGCGTCAATAGAGGTGCGGCCATCCTGTCACAAACACGCGTTTTGCTTGCGCTGACATGGAGCGCCGAGAAGACTTACAAGAAAAGGCATCAAAATGTAATTACATATGCATGCATAACAATTCATATCAGATATGCTAATGAGCTCCGTATAATCCTCCCAGTAGAAAATGATATTTATTTAATTATAAGAAATATATGGGTCTTTTTGGTGCAAGCCTTTTATGTGCAAGGGCTTCTGGGAATAATGTCCAAATAAACTCCCCACTGACAAATCAAATATTGGTTCAGAGGCTGTTGTCGGTTTCCATCCTTTACCAACATCTATTTAAAAAAATGTCCATTTCTAATAATTACAACTGTATCCACATTTCAGTGCCATTACACTCCCCTCCTCGCTTTTTGCCCGGTGCGCCGAGTGACATGGAGGACGAATAATTGTGGCGCCTGGAAAGCAGAAAAATGTAAACAGTTCATTAGAGGGGGAATAAAAGGCGTAAAAATACCCAGGGGCAGAGTGTAATGAGGGCCCTGAAGTCTCCTCTTCCCCAGCGTTGCCTTGTTCCTCCCGAGCACACCACTGGAGGCAGAGCACCAGCAGTAATTAAGAATGTGCCTTTACAATACTGCCTTTTACTGCCAGTGGGAGAAGAGCCAGCATCTCCAAATATAGGCCTAATAACACTCATGTCCAAACATTGTTTTTCTATAGGAATGTGCAATAAGTACCCAAGTGTCGTGTGTAAACAACTCATCTATTTTTACTTGGGCAAAAACTGCTCTGGCACCTCCTCACGCTGATATACATGTCATATTGTACTCTCCAGGAAGAGACTGGCAAGCCTTCATTACATTTTCTTTAGTGAATAAGTTTGTCATCTTTTCAAGCAGGGTAGAGGATAATTAATTACAAAAAACAATTGTTCTAAGAATCAACGGAGAACACGAAAGAGCAAAAGTAATAAATATTTGGTTTAAATTGTGGTACACATACAGATTTCATACTGATAATAAGGGTTACCTGACTTAAGGTAATTTTTCATAATCACATAATCAGCTGATCAAAAAAATAAAACATAAAATCATCATTGATCTTCTTTGTGTTATTATGGTTAAAGGCTTTTGGTCTGCGCTATCCAAATAGAATGTGAGTTATACATTCTATACGTTCAGGCTCAAAACAGTTCTGTTTAACTGTACACATGACTGAAAGTTTTTTATTCCACACTCTTCTCTTTTAATGTTAATTTTATGATGATTATTTATCTTTTGATTTGTTTGTATTGTAATTTTAATGTCTTTCTTATTCTGTAAAACACTTTGAATTACTTTGTGTATGAACTGAGCTTGCCTTACTCCATATCAACAATATCAACAATAGTGTAAATATGCATAAACCACACATTTTACTCAAAGGTTAGCTGTTCCTTGCCTTCCTTCTCCTGCTGTGACTTTTCCCAGGTGCGGAGAAGACCCAGCCCCCTCCTCCCCCCCTCTCTCGTGGGGTAGAGGTGGACCCGAGCAGCCCAGCGTTGAAAGGAAGTCAAGACCTTTAAGCAGCCGCGAGTATCACAACAGCACACTCAATAATGCATCTCGCCTTGGCGGGGGTCTTTGCGCACTATTGTTCCGACAAATCGTTAGAAGTGTTCAATTACGCCTTACTTTTTAACACAAGATATCGTCAGAAAAGACAAAGCACTGTGCGTGTCACAGAAGGGTGTCATTGCAGTGTTTTGGTGTCATAGAATAAGAGTACGTGACATACTGTATCTACAATATCCAAGGGAGCATTCCTTTGGAGGACGTGAGCGCGCTAACCCTCTGTGCGTTCTGTCTGCCTAATAGAGGAGCAGTGGCAGCCTCAGATGACAGCATGGGGCCTCTCATTAGCTCACAGGTTAGAGCTTTGGTGGCTTCCGTACACACGCGAGACATTGTATTGTGTTTTTATGTGGTGTCAGAAAATAGAACCGTGGGGATCGAAGTGGTTATGGAAAGAATATAAAGGTAAGTGATCACCAGGGCAGGCTAATAATGTTAGCGAGGCTGCCACACAAGTGCACCAGGCAGGAGGCTTCAAAACAATCAGGATGGACAGAGGGTTCATATAAGAGCAGGCAAACTTTTCAAGCCTGATGTGTGACAGTAAATACAATGTTTGAGTATAGAGATATAGAAGGGCTTTGATTGACTGTTTACTTGTCAGTGTCATTTAAACTGCAATAGAGCAGTCAATAAGACTCAAAAAATGATGAGGAGCCCTGAGACCCAAGACAAGAGAGACTAAACTAAACAGGAGTCTGCTGAGCAAGGCCTGTTTGAAGAAGCTGCAGGTTCACATCTCTGTGGTTGTTTCTTTAAGGCATGAGGAACCATTAAACCCCATATTGAAATCTGAAGGCTCTTGTAATGACAAATCAAAGGCCGTGTCTCCCTTCCATCTCAGTTCCTCTGCTGACAGTGGAGGAGCTTCGGGCCCTGTGTAGGAGGGGACAGATGAGGAACAGTAAAAGAGGCTGTAGTCGTGGTTACGAGGAGCAGACAGCACTGGGTCCCGGACTGAATCAATGGAGCCCAGTCGACAGGGAGGCAGGCAGCCGGGGCCCATCACAACGCAGGCTCCCGGCGTGCAGTGGGGAATAAAGTGGGCCTCCTCGGGTCAGCACCACACAAAAAGGTGAGATTAGAGCGAAGTGGAGGAGGATTTCTCCCCAGTGGAGGTGGGAGGGGGATGGAGGGTGAGGAGCTGTGCGGCGCGGGATACCTGGTAAGCCAGGGACCAAGCGGCCTATTAGCCTGTGGCTACCTACATATGGTTCAGTGAACCCTCTGCTGAGAAGAGCTCCTGTGCTATCTGTCTAGCATCGCTGTTTAAAGAAAGAAATAGCTTCACTCATAACCCTTTGTGTGCTTCCACTCCTGACCTGCATTTATGATTCACATGTGTTTGAAGTCTATTCTTGGAATGTTATCTAAAATTGAAAAGTGTAATAAAAAAGTCCTAGACACAAAGGCGGAGGAGTGGGGCCTGCTGTGCGCGTGAGCATGTCCGTCAGTGGACACGCTCAGAGCACAGTCTTCAGTGCGGCGCTTTTCTTCTAACACCACTATTGTAGCACCTGAATGCTGTGGAATTAACATAAGAATACAGGCGCACACACAGGGACTTAGCAAGATCATTATCTCTATATATTTATGTATACTTTGTTATTTGACTGGCCTGGACATATTCACATGCTGATGAGGCCAGAAAGGCCCCCATCCAGAAGCGATTCCAACATGTGCCCTCCTGAACTGCCCAGAGCAGGGCTAGTTTCACGGGACTCCCAGGGATTGTACTGGAATTCACAACATTTGTTTAGAAAAGATGAGAAATGCCCAGCTGAGGGTCATGAAGCCTTGTTAACATTTCTTATGAAGATAAAATATGAAAAGGGACTTTTAAATGGCGTGTTTTTCCCTTTCACAACAGCACTTAAAGCACTAAATATGTTGTGTGAAACTGACTTCCAAACAAAAAAGCACAAAGCTGGGATTGTAGTTGCCAAAGCAGAACAAACAGGAGCTCTATGGCGATGAGAAGAACAAAACTAAAGACTTTAGTCTCACTGCAGGAGTAGGCTGATGCTCTAATGGTGGCCAACCTCTGGGATAATTGAAAAAAACCTAATTCATCTTCCACAATGTAATTCTGATCAAGGCCGCAGCCAGAATACTCTGCAGGCTTCAAAAACACCAGAGAAAAGGCAAAATTGTCAGTCGCTGAGAGCAAAACACACTTTGCCTTTTTGTGCTGGCGGCTCATTACGAACACTTAGGACGAGAGCGAGGGAGACTGTTTAATTGTGTGAAGGGTGCGGGCATCAGGGTTAAAACAAGAGCAAACACAAGGAGGAGAGAGAGAGGGCCACTGGTTAAGGAAGCGACGGAGAAGACTTCCTCTCTGCTGCTACTGCTGCCTTCTTTTACTTATTAAACCAGGGGAAAAACACAGAGCCAATGATTCATAATATATTTCATAAATACTTCATGAATCCCTGCGCCATACTTAAGCCAGACGGGTAAAAAGAAAAACATTGTCACCTATTCTAGTAGTGGCTTGTCAGCACATCACTGGGGAGTGGGTGTCACATGTCACTTCTGGTTTACCCCAATGCGCGGGACAGGCTGCAGACTGGAGGTAGGACAGGATGGGGAACACAAGAAGTGAGGAGAGGGGAGAGAGAGAGGAGCGGAGGGGGGGTGTTATCATATCATTGCCCCGTGTCTTTTAGATTTTCCTCCTTATTATGTTTGGCCCGTGCTAGCTCCAGTCACTCAATCACACACGCCCCGAGGACAGTGGGACCTGGGAGGGCGCGTCTGAAAGCTATACTGATCGCTGTCAGTGTGGCGCACGGCGGGCCACTTCCATCGCCGGGCTGCTCGGGACAGGGGTGGAAAGAGTGAAGGGAGGGTGGCGGAGCGGGGAAGGGGCAGATAAGGAGCGAAGGGAGAGACGAGGAAGAAGGATAACGCGGATGGAATTTGCACACCGCCCAAAAACAAAACCAGCGCTCCGGGCGTAATGCAGATGGGACCGGTGTTCACATAAAGACCAGAGTGATCCGTGGACAAATTACAGCCTGTGGACTTCTGCTGCTACACTGTCAAACACAAACTTAGCAACAATGTGAAAAGAAACTGAGCATGTCAAGAGCATTTAAGGGTATTCAATTAATGAGTAATTGTAACCCATTAATCCATGTATATATACAGAATAAAATCTCAAGTGTTTTAAAAGCAAAATCCACCTTTACCCTTTAGAAAGTTTGTCTTATAAAAAAGCTGATCACTTACAGGAATACATGATTATGGTAATAAAAGTAAAGTGAAGATTTCATTAAGGTGAAAAAACTAGGTATAGATTTGCCCAGTGATTTTCCTAATTTAGTATTTTTATTACAGTTTTAATTCATTTAAACATATTATGTCAAAAAGCATAAAATGATCTAAAAATATATATACGATTTTTTTCTCATAATGTACAGCCCTAATTTCATTGTTCTTTGAATATGGTCCCAATCAATCAATAATAATCTAAAATGTGAATGCTTTTTCTCACAATAATTCTAACACAAAAGTATATAATATTTCTAATATTTGTCCAGAAATATATTTTAATGCCACTACACCACTTTGAGGAAGAGTGTAACTTTTCAACTCTCCTGATGACATTGTCTTCATGCAAACCATCTTCTCCACAAAATCTTAATCCACCAATTAATCTCAGTTTAAGAAGGCAAAAACAGAAAAACAAATCCTGGAATCCTCA